CATCCCAAAAACCTCAGGAATCCAAATGAAATCATAGGGTTTGCGCATCACCAACTTCGCGAACCCTGTGATTTCATTGGGATTCCTGGGATTCTGAACCTTGAACCTCCTGGGGTTCCCAAGGTTGGTTTTGCTCCAGGGTATGAAATCCCACGAAGAACAAGAATCCCTGTGAAAATCACCAGGATTCGTTGACTTGCATCCCAGAAATCACAGGAATCCCAATGAAATAAAAGGGCATGCTGATTTCTCGTCTACAGGATGGCTCACACGCTTGTTGGCAATGCGTTTCCTGTCGAGTGCGTCCTCTGAAAAGGCAGGCATGATGACAAGATCAAGCCCACTCCTCCTCCTCCTCCTCCTCCTCTCCTCCTCCTCCTCCCTCCTCCTCCCCTCTCCTCCTCCTCCTCCTCCTCCTCCTCCTCCTCCTCCTCCTCCTCCTCCTCCTCCTCCTCCTCCTCCTCCTCCTCCTCCTCCCTCTCTCTCTCTTTCTCACTCTCTCTCTCTCTCTCTCTCTCTCTCTACCCCGGCGGGCATCCTCCCGGTGTCGCGCACGAGAGTCAGGTTCTAACGTCTCCCATCTGCCCCAGCGAAGTTACGCAGCGAGCGATCACGGGGAGGGGGGGGGGGGGGGGGCACACCCGAGGGGCCGACGGCCAGGGGCGACGACAGGAGGGGGAGGAGGAGGAGGAGGAGGAGGAGGAGGAGGAGGAGGAGGAGGAGGAGGAGGAGGAGGAGGAGGAGGAGGGCTGAGCGAGACAACGGCAGCTCTAAATCGGCCCTGGACCCATCCTGGGGTCCACACGCATCAGTTTTCTGAGCTGCGTCCAGCCGTCGCGACGCGGGGGGCCCCTGAAGGCGAGCTGTGTTTGTCTCAACTGGCCCTCCTCTGATCACGAAAGAGAAGCAATCGGGTGTTGCACATCGTGGCTGGCCCGACGAGACGGGCAACGACGACGAAGATGCTGGAAAACCAGCTGGGCTGAGACACGGGCGGGACGGAGCAGAGGAGCGAGCGTGGACGAGGCGCCTGGTGCACAAAGTACTGGTGATGCTCCTGGGGAGGGAAAACGAGCGACACTCGAGCCCATTGGGGGGCAGACCTGTCTCGACGATCCTCAAAAAATGCCTTAGCGCCAACGTGTGCTTGCCCACCGAGTCCCTTTCCACACCGCGAAAACGGCGCAGCGAAGACGGACACGGGTCCCACCGCCATCGACGGAGCCGACGCGGGCAAACACGCTTTTACGTCGCAGCGCGGCAGGAGGCAACCTGCACGCGCGCCCAGGCGAAATCAGGGCACGGAGTCGCGAATGAGCCCGCATGCAAGATGGGGAGGGAAGGAGAGGAATGCGCCGCCAGAATATCACCACATCCACTGCCGCCAGGTCGTGGTCCGAGAACTCGGGGAGCGGTAGATATGGATATCTGCCCCCCCACGCGGGCGGGCAAATATCCATGTCCAACGCTCCTCGAGATCTCAAGGCGCAACTCCGAAGCAGTGGATGTGGACATATTCTGGCGGCGGACGGAGGCGGCCGACGAGGGGGGAGAAGGCGCGGGGGCGCACTCACGCAGCGAGGCTGTCCCCAGCTGGGGTGGCGGGATGGCGGGGATCGGGATGGGGTTAGAGATGGGCATGGGGATCGGCGAAGCGATGCTGAACGTCGAGGATCCACGAGCCCCGAGGGAGCTAGCGGGCGAGAGCTACAGGAGCCCCGCGGAGGGCTGCTGGCACGGGCGATCATCGCCGCGGACGCTTCGCCGTGGCCGGCCCCCTCGGGCCAGCGCTCCATATCGTCGGGCGCGTGGGCCCCCGGAGGTCTGGGCCACTTCCGAGGGGCCGGCTTTCACCCGAAATCGTTGCTCGCCAATCCCAGGGCCCGTTGATGCGCGCATAGGGAGATGGCTGAGGGGCCGTTCCTATACGGGGTCCGTAGGTAGAGGCGAGGAGTAGGACTCCTCTTCCCGGGAACTGCTAAGCCAGCAGGGCACCGTCGTCCTTCAGCCAGTACCTTGAGCCAATACAGTTGCGGAAGAAGGGATATAACAGGGCCGCGAGCGGACTCCACGCACGCCCCCCGCCCCGAAACCCGCCAGCTCTCGATGGCCTCGGGCCCGCGGGAGACGACGGCAAGAATCGGGAACAGCGGAGCGACGTCCACTCGCAGCCCCGTTCTATCCACCGCCCCCCCCAAACGAGGGCGCACTGGCTAGGGGAGGTAAGAGAAGGGACCAAACCCGTCACGCGTGGCACTTAGGAGTGTCCACCCGCCTTCAGCGGGCCCCGGGCGCGCCCCCCAGAAACGCTTCGGCGCTCCTGGACGATACTCCGTCACCACAGGTCACAGGGATGGGAGAGCAAGGGAAAGAGAGCAGAGAGGTGGCGCCAGCATCCCTCGACGCAGGTGCCACCGACGCGGCGCACGCGCCATGTGATGCGGATCGGAATTGCGACGACAACTCGATCAAGGTAGCAGAACTCTCACTCACGGGGCTCTCCAGGCCCAAAGGATTGCTAGGGCACTCCAGGTCTAATTCTGACAAGTATTAAGATAAGTGCGACGACAACTTATATCTGAGAATGCGTCATGCACGATGCAAGGCATTCCAGGCCCCAAAAGTACTTTGAAAATACAAAACAAACATGATCATGGCGCATTGCTTTGCATCGGTCGTACACTGACACCGCCCCATGATAAAAAAATACGCCGATGTGTGTCTAATCTCACTGAGGGCGACCTGCCTGAGAACATGTTTCTGCCAATGTGCGCCAAAATACAAACGGAAGATAAGCGGAATGGCATCGAATCAATCTCCAGGACCAATGGTGATAGAACATACATCAGGATACGCAGCAGCATATGCCAATCAGTAATCACGTCGAGTTCTCGTAGTAACGCTCATTCCAAACACGATTTCCATAGTCACTGAACCAACTGATAGTGATGGTCCTATAGTTGGCCCATGACCAAATGCATTCAGAGTCGTCGCTGTCGACATAGATCCACTGGGACAGGTAGCATGACCAGTAACGATACGCATCGCGTTGGTAGTGCTGGAGATCACGGCGCCACCATGTGTAGACGTTGCGGCACTCGCGCACGGCACTCCTGCTGCGGCCGCGCTCGCCATTGCGGTCGCGCCCCCGTCTCGGCGGTGTCACGGGACGGCGCGACGTCGATAAATGAAGAAGCGCCACCAGTCCAGCCCGCAGCGTCAGCCCAGCCAGCGCCGCCAGGGGCACAGGCGGGAGCGGGGCCATCGCGGCACGGGGGTGGAGGAGCTAGAGCGAGGCGAATGGGTTCATCAGAAGCAACTGTAAAGTCACCCTCATTACCCTTTGCAGCGCCTTTGGGCACCTGCCTCTGGAGATCACCTAACGCGACACGGCTCACGTGACCTCGCCCCCTCCCAGAGGGAGCAGAAAAAGTCAACAACCCACGGTCAAGCCGTTCGCCACGAGGCATCGCTCCGGGAGCCTGCACCCGCCGGCCTGCGTAGCCAAGCCGCACAGTCTCGCGAAGCAGTCGCATGCCCTCATACATATCATCTATCGTAAATGAGCGCTGACGCGTCAACACTCTGTCGTCGGTCATCTGACGGTGGAAGACACCATCCTCCTGAAACCGAAAGGCAAGGTCGGGGCACGGGCGATAGAGGACGGCGCCCTCTGGGCCAGCGCCCTGATGTCCACCGACACGACATTGGCCGGGGCTCGGACTGCCAGCCCCCATCCAATTGGCGCGTCGGTTCGCGGCTCTGTTAGACAGTCTGCGTCGGTAGTCCTTTTCAGTGGCAGCTTCAGAGCGTTGAGCCTGGACGCGTGTCTGGACATCCGCGAGCATAAGTTCGCGCGCGATGTTCTCGCCCACTTGATCGCGGACCCAGCTGCGCACATCAGCCAGGACCTGGACCTGTAACGAACCTGTTCCCCCATGCCGAAATGACCCAGTGCACGCGCGGCACAGGCCATCTTCGTTTGGGTCGTCATTGGGGAGGTCGCGGTAGCAGCTGGAACAATAGCGCTTTGCGGTCTGATAGTCCGCCGCTCCGTTTCCAATGAGTTGCTGAACGCGGTTGCGGGCGTTACCACCGGCGCCCAACTTTCGGCCGATCTCGCGGACAGCACGATTCGGAACAAGCCGGGCGCGGTCGGTGGCGAGATCGTCAGCCAAAGACTGCAATCCCTCATCGGTCATGGGATCGGAGGGATCCCCATCCATGACCTTGTCGCGATCACGGCGCGCTGAGGCCGCGCCCTGATGATCTCGCAGGAGGTTCTCCGCTCTCCGGCGAAACTCCTGATCCAGTGCATCTTCGTCGTTGGCGTCGCCCATGCCATCATCATAGCCGGAACGCATCACTTCCATAAGTTGTTCCTGCGCGGGGGCAACGGCCGACACGACGCTTCCAGGGTCAGCGGCAGGGATGTTATCTTCAGCGGGTGGCGGGGTGGCGTCAGCCCTGACGTTACATTGTTCTCTGATCGGGCCCGTCAGCACGTCACCGTACTTCGGGTCGGAGAGCACAGTCGATTCCCAGAGGCTGAGGAGGGGCGCTAAAGCTGCATGGTTCTTGAGGGTGTCCGACGCAGGGGTCTCCGCCAAACGAAGTGCAGCATCGCTCTGGATAGTGGCGAACAGATGTGGAATCCAACGAGATAGTACGAAATCCCCAGTTTCGTTCCAACTCGTCTCCGTCATCATCGAAGACAGAGAACGGTTATGGCCACAAATATTCGGTAAATCTTTGGCCCATGGATTGAATGGGTTGAAATTGATAGTGTACCAATCCGCCTTGGAGTCAGAAACGGAACCGTATCTCAAGATGGCTACCCTAGTAAATATATATAGTATATATATATGTATATATATATATATGTGTATGTATGTTGCCGTGCATACCTGATCCACCTCGCACCGCGGTGTCTGCAACATCCCAACCGCCTGTGTATTTCTGCCAGTCGCACGATGGCCCCTCAGTTCCGCCGTCGATCATCAGGCAAAAATGGACGGCAAGTCCGCGATGCCTTCAATCGTTGTGGTCAGCTTTGTCTCATCGATCTTGATGTCCGGATTGTCGTTATGCTGGAGCGCGGGCATCTCCACCGACTTGTCGATAGCGGTATCGTCATCGAGAAGTCCAAGGTGGAGGTCGATATCGCATGAGCTGGAGTGGTCCATGAACACGTCAGGCCGCTCGGCATGCAGTGAAACTGCGAAAAGAAAGCAATGATGTTCGTTACTTCCTGGCGCACCAAATGTTGGCCCAGAATGGGCCGCGACCCCAAAACGGGATCTGCACGCTGATGTAGGGTCCATTGTGAACGATGTCGCGGATGGGTCCGTAGATCTTCCCTTTACCCAGCGTGAGTGCGACAACTTTCTTTGCTGGCCACAGGCGGTCAACGGCACGGCAACGGGCAGAACCATGCAGTCGTGCGTATGTGAAGTCGCGCACGCGGATGTCTCGAAAGCGACTGCAGCGATCCCAGGTGCCAAGAGGAAGTGTCTTCACAAGTGGCTCAAAGTGGTCCTTCTTGCAATCGTCTACGATCGTCCACCAGTGGGCCATGGTCAGGATTTCCTCGTCGGTCCGAGTCGGTGAAGCGTTGCCACCGGATCCCCTCCGAAAAGGAGTTGGTCCAGTTGGGATTGGTCCTGCTTTGGCACTGGTTGCAGTCCTGGAATCTTCGGAACATTCGATGCAGCGGAGGAAAAGGAGGAACGCATCCCAATAGACATAGGCTCGGTCGTGGTTCCTGGATGCGCGTCCGCAACTGCTCTGCTGCAGGTGTTGCCACCGGCACAACCTCGCAGACCTCGCAATGGCTGCGTGGTGCCAGCAATTTGGCCAACTCTGGATACTTCCAATTAATATTGGGTGGGTACAAAGATCCGCCCCCGACCGTTCTGTTGGCTGGGATGGCCCGCGTGGGAATAGGCTGGAGGCACACGATGGCCCCTTGTTCCCCAAGCCAGAACTCACAGCCAGCAATAGTGGCTGAGAGCATGTCGATGACCACGTCGACCGGCTTCTTCTGGTGCTCGAACTTGTACCCAGGGATCGCAGCGCGAGGATTCTGTTCGCCATGACGCACGAAAGGACTTGAACTGTAAAATGCCTGACGCCGTGTGGCGATCGGCACCGCAGCCTGGAGTAATACCGATCTTGCGAATACGCGTCCAAGCATCATTGGTAGTGGCATGGTGCAAGTACTTCACATCCGCCCATGAAAGACGCGTTCAGCCCATATTCCACGGTTGGCTGTTGTGGTGCACGGCGGTGCGCCCACCAATGGCACGAATGGCCAGTACCTGATCCCATGCGATATCTGCCCCCAACGCGTCAGGGTTGGGGCGCGGACGAAGACCTGGAAGCGGGCCTTTTCGTCGTCGATGTACAGCTGCAGGGCGCGAAGGACAGCGATCACGTGGCATTCCTGTGCACTGTACCACGGTTGGCCACTTGCTTTTTGCCTGATGCACGTGGGCCTGCACGGCATTCCTGTTGGGGCCGTAGTCGTTCCGAGTGAACACCTCCGACACGATGTGACTGAAAGAGTTGTGGCGGTTGGCCACGGCCTAAGGATCGACGTCCTCGTGCTCCCAGATTTTGACACGGCGGTCCAAAAATTGATCCAAGCCGCTGCGGCCGCCGTTATCATGGCGGAGTGCGGTCGAAAGAGCCTTACTGAACCACCGCGGCGTTCCCATAGTATGACCAGGGTAATGCGAGCCAACCAGGAGAGGTCGGCCCAGCTGTTTGGTTGTCACACTGCACAGAATAAGCCATGTGTAGTCTGGGAAGCAACCACTGTTCTGTAGGTCAGGAGCACTTGGTCACATAGTCATCGTAGTACAGACTCTGTCATGTTCTTCGCTGTCCGTGCACGACTGATACTGACCGCGTCCACGCAGGAGCGGAGGGACCCAGGGAAATGGGTCAGACAGTCAGACACCTCGGCACGAATAGCGCATTCTCTGGGAGCAATGTCAAGCGTAGTTTCTTCCTCCAGCGTCACCACAGCCTCGCGTTGCGATCGTGCGCAACAGTCGTGCGCACCCATGACTCTGAACTTCAAAGTCTCCGCAGGCGCCTCTGCGTCTGCGGGAGTTGCCTCCGGCTCGCCAATGTCCAGTGCTGAGGAGGACGGCGGTGCCGGTGGTGGAGTACGTTGGTCTGCCGATGCCACCGACGCGGCAAGCGCGGGTGGCAGCGGCACTTCCCATGCGGGTACCTCCCACGCTGGCACTGGCAGCGGCCGTTTGGGGGTCGCACCCGCCATCGCGTCATCTTCTTGCGGTGGAAGATGCGTTGGAGGAGGCGGCGGCACGGGCACGTAGCCACCGCGGGAGGTACCAGGCGCGACAGACGGAGGGTCGGGCGGCATCTCCGTCCGAGACTCTGCCTGACTGCGAGACCAGTTGGTAGGCTGCACGATGTAGTTCGCGTTGACATCACGTTCAAGCCCGAGGATACCTGATTCCTCGCTGGCACCGATCGGGGCGATAGGCATGATCCCGTTGACGAACTGCTTCAATACCAACCACGTAGCGGCATGACGTACCAGTTACGCCCTGTTGCACGCGGTCTTGATGAAGAGAAGCCCAGGTGTCGGGAAAAGCATCAAGCATACCGCGGAGGCGCCGAAAGATTACCTTCCACGATTTGTAATGTTTCCTCCGTAGCGGAACGAATTGTCTTACCATCCCAATATGTGCAATGTGCAGTAGGGATGGCCTGTGTATACGCAGGAGTGGCATCTTCGCGGGAAGTCGCACCCGTTGGAGCGAAAGCCAAGACCAGGACCTGGCCCCGATAAGTCGGAGCGGCAGAAGATGATCCGGCTGCAGGAGTTGCCTCCAGCGGAAGGACCGGAGGAGTGTCAGACGAAGAGTGAAACGCCTGAAATGTCTTTGTCATCCACGCAACCCAGTCATGTTCTCCCAGGGATTGTACGTGAAAAGCACGATGTCCTTTGGAACGCTGGAACAGCGCGGATTGCTCCAGGCGAACACGGAGTGCTTCACGCATCTCCTTTGCCTGGGCGTGGCCCCAATAGTCGTTGAGAGGCTGACTCAACGGGTGGCGGAACGGAAAACGCAGCGTCGGCAGCGAAAGCGCACCCGCGCTCATGTTCCTGAGAGCGGCGGCGCGCATGAACTGCTGCGTCAGATGCACCAGGTTGCGGCCCGTCTTCTGCGGGCACCACGAGTTGGCATGCGGACGGTCTTGCTGTCTGATTCACTGATCAACGGGAAATACAACAATACCGCGGCCAGTGAGCATCGGGATCATCTCGTTCATGAGCTCGCCAAACTCCTCTAGTAGTCCCCATTGATGGGCCTTGCCGGGGCCCGTGACAGTGAGGCAGCGAAAACAGTTTAAGACCTCAACAACGAGATACGTCCACCTTGACATGCTCAGGAAGAGTCAGGACCACGTCGACTGGTGAAGATAACCATCGACTTTCATACTCGGCTGGGAGAGTCGCAACGGCCCGATGTGGCTTGAGTTCCATCCATTTCCCGCCCGTAGCAACGTCGTTACCAGACCACCAGAAGAACGCACTGAGACCACGCAAGCCAGGAAGCAATCCGCCCAGCATGCCCACATCACCTCGTTGAGCTCTCGGTATTCGTCGTTATTACCAGTCACGTAGAGTGCACGAGCACGGCGAACATCAGAAATTATCTGCTTCTGCTCCTCATTGGCTGGGTCTGTGGATGCCATGGTTTCGTCGAGACGTCGACGTAGCGCGGCGCGGTAGGCCTCGCGCGCGGCAGCTGGCTCCAGAGCGCGGGCGTCACACCACCAGCCTCAAGCAACAGCGGCAAGTCGCATCCGATTGGCGCGTCGTGCTCAAGCCAATAACGCCTGCAATTGTCTCGCGAAAGAACCCAAAAGAGGATGTCGTCTCTCATCGAAGTGCTGAAATCCTCCAGAGTAGCACCCGCCCGGCACATCGTGCATCCATGGGCAGACAAGAGAAACCAGCGCCAGGTTGGATGCACCGGCAATCCGTCGACGTGATTGGATGAAATTCATCATCGATGCCAGCACATGGTGTCGTTGACTTCTTTTTCCCACCATCAGTCTTCGACGCCACGAGGCAACTGGAACGACTGTACAAGTTCACCCATTTGAATGCATGACCGTCGGGGCCCAAAGCGCGGATGACGGTGAGGCCACAGAAAATGTTCATCCATGAAGCCCATCCATGGTCACTCATCATGCCTAGGTAGTACCGGCCGTCTGCGAACGCAGACCAGCGTGGGGCGGTAGCGCCCGGGGCAAGATGGCATTGCTGGAAACCCCCCGCATTCTGGTCGGCAGGAATGCCTGAAGGGTAGCGGAGATTCGGAACCCAGGGCTGCCATGACGGATCCACAGGGAACGATTAGCACACGCTCGTCAAAGTAGCATGATCCTCTGCGAGTGTTGCCACAGGCATGGGGTCACAAATGTCGCCGCCGCAACCTCCACGGGCAGCGACCCACGAAGATGCCTTGATCTCGAATTCAGACCACGCGGTAAGCACGTGGGAGACGCGACAGCAGGCGCGCTGAAGCGCCTCGGCAACTTTGCCGATATGCCCCGCCATGTCGGACGCACGAGGTGCAGCAGGCTGATCTGCGGGCAACTTGATCTCTGCGCGGTCCCGCGTGGAGAAATTGTACGCCGTGAGTCCATGGTCGCGGACAAACAGCGGGTAGAGACCGCGAGGCGAGTGCTCTGGACTCGGCATCCGCATAGTATCGTCGAGGGTCGCAGCTGACAAGCCGCCCAACAACGCATTTCCCACTCCGCCCCACGGCATCCTGAGCACCTTCCACATGCCACCAGCCACCCGCGTACAAATCTCCCCAGGTGGACATTTGAGCGGCTCGGGTTCGGCAGCAATCCCAGGGGGATCGGTCCAAAGGAAGTCAGGACACTGACGGATAGTTGAATCGATACATGGGCCTTTCAGGTAAAGACCCATGACAGAAACCCACACGAAGAAGAACGCCATCCACGGGGCGGCCGCGGCAGGGGTGGGGTTCGGGGCCTCATGTCCGGCAAGCACGTCCCCGGTCTCGCACGCCGCCTGGCATGCCGACGCGAGCGAGCCCTGCTTGCCTGAGCGGAGCCAGAAGGATCCGCTCCCATCGGGGCGACTCTCGGTCACGCGATGGTAGCTCATTCCGCCAGTGACAGGACGGCGGCGAGCAGTCTGCGACTCGAAGGCTGGACCGTTGCGGACGTTGCCATCGGCGGACGCTGGAGCGAGACCTCCAAACTGCACCCCGTGCAGTTTGATCGGAGGCATCGTCATCGTTGGCCGATTGGCGCGGGCAGGGCCCTCCGCGCGAGTGGGAGGAGGAGGCTAGCGCGGGCGCGTTGAAGGCTGCAAATTGCTGCGGAACGTAGATGAATCACGCATGCAACGCACGACAAAAACACGCATGCGAATGACTGCGGCAGTAGAGATACTAGTGGCCAGGGTACCCTTGGTGGAAGCGGCGGCCCTGGCGATCTCCAGATTTCCGGCGGTCTTCGCAGCGGCAGGGAAAAATGAGGAGACTCATGGAGATCCTGCCAAGAGTGGGAAAATGAGGAGCAACTCATTTCGCACTCGTAGGCTCGAAGTGTTTTGTCATCATATATGCAACCTCTTCTTTTGTTCCTACGTATTTGAATGTGATATGTTCCTGTTGGCATGCTTCCGTAATCCAACCCACATGAGTACGATGTGCACGATGAGGGCGGCGAAGTGCCGGCGCAGGTCCCCCGCGCAATATCGCAATCACTGCCTGGTTGTCCTCTGCCTAGAGATAAGGTTGACGACGGGTAGCGGCGCGGAGCGAGGAGAAGAACGAGGATCATGTAGAACTACGTCATCACACACGATGCCATTGGTGGTAGATGCTGGCGACGTGGGCAACGTCTGCACTGAGGGCCGCGCGCGGGGAAAAGATGCACGCGCAGTCGATTTTGCGACGCGCCTTCTCGGCCACCCGCGCCGCGTCGCCGCGCGCGACGCGCGCCACCGCTTCCCCGAACGATAACAGAGGCCGGCCCTCAGTTCGCAGCGCTGCATCCAGCGCCACGATCTCCGACTCGGTAGAAGAGTGGGAGACTACGGTCTGCTTCTTGCACGCAGAGTTCAGGGGGGGGAACGCGCTGGGCCCCACATGGGCGACGAAGACGCCAGCGGTGGATTCCAACGTGTTAACGCTGTCCGCAAACGAAGCATCCGCGAACAGCGCGACCAAAATTTTGTTCGACGCATCACCCATCCATCCGTGTAGGCAGCGAAGCCGCGTGGATTTCAGGTAGCAAACCAGTAGATCTAACCTCTGATCACAAGCGCAACTCCACTCGGCGATCTCCCTGGCGAGCATGCAAAACGGACGCCTGAGATCACATCTGCAGCAACGGGCCAAATATAAGATCTTCATGAGTACACTTGCGGCGTCGGGCCCGAGCACGCCGGCACCCTCATCATCTCTGTCGGTAAACGATGTATCTTCTATGCCAGGAGCGTCAGCATGTGGGAGGGCGTCGCAGGCGAAGCCCGCGGCGTCGGGCGCGGCTTTCGAAGCCGACGCGGGCGGGCGGGATGCGGGTTTGTCAACCAGCGCCCTCGACCGAGGCCTGGTTGTTTTTGGCTTCGGCGATGGCGATAGTTTCCGTCGGGATCCAGCTACCCCCAGTAGCTTGGAGACGCATTATATATATATATATATATACACCGCTCGACGCAGTCATCGGCAATGCCAGGCATATCGCGTCGAATCCCACGCACGTGAGATGCTGACGCGCACTACTTGCGGTCTTGCTCGGGAAGCAAAGGTCGAATCGTATCAATGCGCTCGTCGAAAACGTCATGTGGCACTTTCCTCGTGAATTGACCACGCCCCGAATAGTGGACGTACTTCGTGGGGGAATCCAGTTCAAAACCACTGTGCCGCGTCAGATCCCATCCCTGTTTGATGTTGTCAGTGGGTCCTGCCATCTTGCAGTCGTCGGCATAAACGAACAGAATGAGGTCGTGCTCGTCATGTCTTCACGCACATTCCCAACCTGGAATGGAGAGGAAGCCCACTGATTCGAGACTGGCACGGCAGCGTCGCTCCCAGAAGACACCTGCTAGCGGGCGGCCGCACAAAGCAAATCGAAAACGGCACACGGGATTCTTACACTTTGCCCAGGACGATGGTTGTCTCCATTTGGGCAAGGTGATCCACGCATCCACTGGGTCAATGCGACCGTCACCATACAGCGGGGCCTGCGCATGCGCGCCCGGAGCGTCGCTCCGTTGACCTCCGTCGCCAGGCAAAAGCGCGGCGGCGTCGCACAGCTTGGGGGCCTCGATACGAGAGGCACTCGAGGCAGCATCGGCGGAGACAGCTGCAAGGCCGCTTTCGTCCTCCACGTCGTTGCCCTGGAGCACGACGCGCCCTTTGCACTTCTGGAGCTCGGGAAGTTTAGCGCTTGTGACGGGAGAAATCTCCCGGGTGATCGCGAATTAAACTGTTCTGCTTTCTTTGCGGGCGTTGCGTACAACGTCACCACGTTCCATCACCGCGCCGAGCATCCGTGTCCGCTTGTGTTCCAGGCGTTCGCATTATTTCCAAAGTGCGTCCTGCGCTCGAGGCTCGGCCGCGACGTCTTTCTTGGCGAGGTTGTGGGTGGCGAGGTCGACAGTGGCGATGTAGGGCCGCATCCAGCAGGTGGATTGAAGCTTGTTTCTGCGGCTCTGCTTGTAATCCCAAACACAAGGCATCATCATGGGCACCATGTTGGACTTGTTGGTCACCACGTGCGAGCGCACAACGCTTGCAGGATTTGCATCCGGCGCTGGGCGGTAATAAAATACAGTGATGATGTCGTGTGGTCCTTCGGGAAGCTGCGAATTGGCGATGCGCCTGTCCGTGGTGCCCGCCACGGTCTCGTCCCTGATCACGACGCGAGTATGGAAGTCGTACGCCATGCGTCGCCCCACATTGGACCAGGGCGGTCCGTCGCCGTCGGATGTCTGAAATCGACGAGTGTTTTTGTCTGTTCGAGTCCAGATACGAAGGGCAAACTCGCGGCGGACCTTCCGCGCGCGGATGACGTCCTCGGCGAACCCCCGTTCTGATGTTCGTTCTGTCTTGGACATCGCATTGCAGAACTCCGGTAAGACGAAGTCTGGTCGAGCGGTACCCTGGGCGCGAGTGTCCCGGCCGAGGACGTTGACCTTCCCATCGGTGGTGATCGCAGGATGCTTGTTGAATCGAACGATGCCTGTCAGGGGCTCACTGAGATGGTGGCGGTCGCTACCGAAACCGTCCCACGCGTCACGGAAGTGTTTCTCCCCTTGGAAGCTCGACGTAGTCTCAAAGCTGCGAAAAACGTTGATTTTGTCAACTGGAATAAAGATTCCAATGACGTCGTCTGTAGGGCGGAATAACTGAGTCCGCGGTGCACGAACGTGGCATAGGATAGCCTCACCGCGCCGTTCCCAATAGTCAGGCTCGGGAGCCGGAACCGAAAGCTCGGGTGCCTCTAAAGGCGGCCCCCCGGAGACGAGAGCCCCAGAGTGTTCTGGTGCAGTCAGAATCGAGAGACTGGCGTCGTCCAATTATGCTGGGTACACGAGAGGTGGATCATCCTGCGCAGGGACGCCCAAAACCCGAGAGCTTTGGAATGAGATCAACTCGTGTTTCTCGGGGCTGTGGTTTCGTAAGAGACCTTCGCGGACTGGAAAAATCGGGTCGGGCGAAAGGGGGGGATAGCAAAGGGGGGGTTTGAGAATCAGCTCACGTAGCTGATTTTCCCGGCGCCTCCCGGCGCCGGAGGCGGCATGTATCGAGGAATGGGCCCCTCGGTGAGGCCGAAACCAGCTGCATGCAGCAAATTTCGTAACCCCCCCTTTCCCAATCCCCCCCTTTCGCCCGGCCCGAAAAAACTGGTCTCCCATCAGGAACCACACCCCGTCAGGGTTCTTGGCATAGGTAGCCGACGACGAGGTAGTCGCCAGACCATCGCCCACCAGAATGGAGGTGGTAACCCATGAACAAACCCTCTCGAGTAGTCTCGTCAAAGTTCGCCGCGGACTTGTCGAGGTCTGGCCTGAGGCATTTCCAGAAGACGAGTACCAAGTGGAACTAGGTGTCCTTTGAAGAACTCTCCGAAGTGACCTTTGTGTGAAGAGAACTCGGCGCATGCATACAAGGTTGCAGCAACTCCCTGACACGGTCGGGCAACGAAGTTGCGGCCACAACACCATGCCTGCTCAGCCTCTTTCCACCATTATGGGAAACGCAATCCTGGACGACTGCCCCCGGCACAAATTGCACGGGAAACGCGATTTTCCCGTAATTCGACTTCCGAATTATGGGAAACGCAATTTTCTTCAAAAAACAGCGCCCAATGAACCACGATCGCGCTTCCAATAATTTTTAATTATGGGAAACGCGATTGTGGCTCATTGGGTGCTGTTTTTTAGGAGAATCGCGTTTCCCATAATTCGGAAATCCGAGAATTCGAAGCCTGAAATATGGGAAACGCAATTTTCCTCAAACAACCGCACTCAATGAGCCACAATCGCGTTTTCCAAATTTTTTGATTGTGGGAAACGCGATTGTGGATCGGAGTATTTTTTGAATATGGGAAACGCAATTGTGGCTCATTGGGTGTTGTTTTTTGAGGAAAACCGTTTTTCCCAAATTCGGAATTCCGAGAATTTGAATTCTGAATTCTGGGAAACGCAATTTTTTCCTCAAAACACAATGCTCAATGCGCCACAATCGCGTTTCCATAATTTTAATTCAGGGTAGGACTCCTTTTTCCAGGACACTGCAAAGCCAGCAATGCACCGTTGTCCTTTAGCCAGTACCTTGAGCCAAGACAGTTGCGGAAGAAGGGGTATAACAGGGAAGTGGGCGGACTTCACACACAGTTGAGGGCCCCCCCCAGAGGCCGAAAATAACCAAAACCTGGCCGCTCCACATTCTTCGGAACCTCAGATCTCTGGGGTGCTGCCTCCACATACTCCCCACATGCTCTCAGGAACATCGTCGTGGCCGCGTTCCATCCCCATCCTGCCTGCCTCTCCTCCCGCGCGCGCCTCCCTCGCGCCCTCCCTCGCCGAAGGGAGGTTGGCCGAGCGCGGGGCTGGCGGGAGCGAAGGACGCCGCCTGCGCCAAGGGTTTCGTCGCGAGAAGCCTCCGGGCCTGCATGGAACGCGCGTCTTGCCCAAAAATCCCCTCCGCCTTCAGGCCACTCCAGGAGGAAGGGAGGCAGGCTTGGGAGCCTGAAGAGGAGGAGGGAAGCGGAAGCGAGGAGGGGGAGCGTGAGGCCATTGCCTCAGAGAACACCCTCGACGTGAACCACTCCTACAATCTCTGGCCCTTCTTTACAGCCGAAATGGCTTGAGGCGGCCGATGCGACAGCATCCCAGGCTCAGGAGAAAAGAAAAAGAAGAGGGGAGCCCAGGGAGGACGGGGGGAGGGGGCATGGAGGGCACCAGAGAAGAAGGGGAAAGGGACGGGGGAAGCACTCCAGCCTCCTTCTCCTCCTACCCATATGATTCATATGATTCGTAGCAGTATGAATAGTACGCTTTGACATGTTAGCATCAGTGTTATGATGTTCTATGCTTAATAAGATAGCAGTATTAGTAGTAGTAGTCGTCGTCGCCGTCGCTGTCGCCGTCGTAGTAGTAGTAGTAGTAGTAGTAGTAGTAGTAGTAGTAGTAGTAGTAGTAGTAGTAGTAGTAGTAGTAGTAGTAGTAGTAGTAGTAGTAGTAGTAGTAGTATAGTAGTAGTAGTAGTAGTAGTAGTAGTAGTGGTAAGTTGTTAGTAGTTGGTAGCTAGTAGTTAGTAGTTAGTATTTACTAGTCAGTAATTAGTTGATAGTAGCTAGTAGCTCGCAGTTAGTAGCTTGTAGCTAGTAGTTAGTAGGTCGTAGTGGTAGTAGTAGTAGTAGTAGAAGAAGAAAAAGGAGTAGCAGTAGCAGTAGTAGTAGTAGTGGTATCATATGTGTTGGTATTATCGTTCTTACTAATATTGAGATTACGAATAGTCTTATGCGTCGTCTTCTTACTATGAGCATTAGAATTACGATTCGTCATATGATTGTTATAACTAGTATTGCTACCATTACGGTGGTGAGTCTTTTTCTTTTTATATATATATATAAAAAAACTACGTAATTGCATAATTGTTACTGGAATTAAGATTAGTAATGCTCGTCTTCAATGTGTGGCTCGTATTCTTCGTAAAATCAATATCGAGGATGATCGCATTATTATTCGTAGTCTTAATATTAGTGTGCGCATTAGCTTATTGGTCTGATATGTCTTGTTGTACGTAGTATGATGACTGGTCTTCATGATAGCATTAGTAGTAACCGTCGTCGTTGAATGCTTTATTAGTATGCCTCGCAGTGCTATGCTTATTATTCGTTTTCTTATGATAAGTACGATGATTGGTCTCTCTACAATTATGAATAATATCAGTCACAGTATGTTTGCTATTATTATTCCTCTTCCTCCTCCTACTCCTACTTCTCCTCCTCCTCCTCCTCCTCCTCCTGCTCCCCCTCCTCCTCCACGAGCAGCTCTAGAAAGCAGGTCATGGGGAGGAAGAAGGTGGGGAGTGGGGAGAGTGAGGTTGGTGAAGGGGGGGATTATGGAGGAGAGATGGGGCAGGAGGAGGAAGTGGAGGAGGCAGCAGGAGGCCGTTGAAGGTAGGACTCCCCCGCGAGCTGACCAGGGGTCCCAGCCCGCCAACGCTGGGAGGAATACGAGCCGCTCCGCGCACGCACCAGAGCTGCACCGCACCGGGGGGGGCCCTTCCCCCCTCCCAACTTCCTCACCCCCGCCTCCCCTCCTCCCATCCTCCTCTGAACTCACTCAATGTGAATGCGAGTCTCCCCATCCCCCCTGACTACGTCCTGAAAGCAGATAGCACGTTCCGTGCATTTTCACACAGGAAACAAAAAAACATATCGCACGCGTGTTGTTTTCCATCGGAACATGTTCGGTGGATCCGAATGGCGGTCTCGCTGCAACATGAGCCTCATTTCGGGATCGGCGCGTTGCTCCCGTCGATCAGAATGGCCCTCTCGCCCCAACGCGGGCCACTATTCTGCATCCGAGTCCTTCCGCATCGTTGCCGCCCCGCTCCGCTCCCCTCCCTGGCCTTCCCCAGGTGATCCTATTACCGCTCCTCCCACTCTTGCTCCTGCTGCAGCTGTTCCTCCTCGTCCTCCTCCTTCATCAGCATCCTCTTCCTCCTCTTCCTCCTGCTCAGATGCCACCTCCTCCTCATCCTCCTCCTCCATTGCTCTCTGGCAGCTCATGGAAACTTCAATATCATCTTGCTGGCTCTTGTGCATCCACTCTAATCCACGCTAGTCGACGCTAAAGCGATACTGAGCGACGCTGAATCGACGCTTTCTCATCGATTACCAAACGCTAGCCCACGCGAATGCACTCTAAAGAGGGAATCCCGAGGATATACAAAGCTCCCATGAGTTGCTGCCGAACCACTCTACGTAACTCCCCTTCTGACTGCGCATAACACGATGGGGTCCGTTGAGGGGGTCTGAGTCTGCTATGACACGCGTCGACGGATCAGGAAGCAAAAAAGAAAACCATAAAAACACTGGGAAGGGACGGGTGGGAGAAGTAGGATGTAAAATATGGCGCGAGCGCACCTAGCTCGCCTCCGCCCCGTCTCCGCCCTCCCTCCCTCCCGCTCGCTCCCTCCTCCCTCTCCTCTGTGAGCGGCTGCTTGGAGTAGATGACCCGGTGAAGGTCCGTCTCCATCAGGTCAGTGACTATGTAGATGTCCTGCAGCCGCATTCATGTCAAAATATAGCCCTCCCACAATGACTGCGGCACTCTCCCTCTCTCGCTCCCTCGCTCTCTAAGAAAACTAGAACACCGTGCTCCGAGCATGCGCGGGGATCGAGCCGCGACTGTGGGGAGGACGACGAGGCCGAGGCCCCCTCGAACCCGTTGCGACCCAAAGGGCAGGAGAGGGCTGGAAATGGCAGGCCTGCCTAGACGAGCGCGTTCCACTACCCGCAGAGTAACTGCTCGCGAACGGCCTGGATCCCCCGCCGAGGATCTACGAGAAACTACATCAAAGCGGACATGTGTTCTTCGGACGTTTGCGAGCAGGCACTCTTTGCGAGCAGTGGAGCGCGCTCGGTGACGACACTGTCGTTGCCCCTTCTTGGCCCAGCCTGCCGGGCCAGTCGGCGGCGCCCCAGACGCCGGGGCCTGGGCCCCCGGGGGGCGCGGAGGCGGGCGCCGGGGCACCTCCGAGTGTCGCAGAGAGCCCGAAGAGTTCAAGTGGCCATGTTCGCGGAAGCGGCAGGGACTGAGAGCAGGACGGGCCTGGGAGGGGCTCGGAACGACGAAAGGGGCGGTTAGCAAAGCGGGGGTTGGCGAATCAGCTCGAGCAGCTGAATCTCCTGGCGCCTGCTGGCGCTGGGGGATGTATCGAGGAAATCGCCCAGCGGCGGGACAGAAACTAGCTGCATGCAGCAGATTTCGTAGCCCCAACGTTCCCTATCCCCCCCTCTCGTCCGACTCCACTGGAGAATCGGAGGGGGGTCTGCCATAGCGGGAAGGGGCGGCACACCTTTCAGGCAGAGTGCGCAGCCAAAGCCGATCAGGCCGAATGGTCCGCTGCCGGCAGCAGCAGCCAAGAGAGTCAACGAACCTCAACCTCACGCAAAAACATATGTTTAGTACCATAGCGCAAGCACAATAACAACCCCCGACACGACAAAGTGAGGAGACGGTTCGCCAGGCAAACCATGCAAGCAACGTGCACCGACATGCAACAGGCAAGCACACGCCAGGGGACCTCGGCCACGGAGGACAAAACAGCAGCACGAAAACATACCTGAAGGAAACGTTGGATCGAGAAGAGAAGGCACCCCGAGATCCGACGGTGCGAACACAATACAACATCGCGCGAGTATCACGACCAGAGCCCTAGGGACCCCGTCGTTCTGCGCACCTTCCGAGCCAGATCTGCGATGCGGCCCGAACCCGGGCGAAGACGCCCGGCGTGAAAAATTGCAGCGCCCAAATCTCAGGGCAGGAGAAGGGGGGCCAAAAGAGGCACCGAACCCGACGAGAACGGTGGCCAAGACCCAGACACGCTCTCGACCCAAGCTCCTCGGCGGGGCGCACAGAGGGGGCGGCGAACCGCAGGCGGGGGGTGCGGAAGCCTTCCTGGAGCGCAGCGGGGGCTTCTCGGGAACTCCCGCTGCCTTCCCAGGCGCCTTCCTCGAGAGCCCCAAAAGGCTTCTCGGAGGGGGCGAGAAGCCCCCTCTGCGTTCTCGGCGGGCGCACGCCGACACTGATTGGACATCCGTGGGTCTGGCGCGCGGGCGCCAGATCCACGGATCGGGGAAAGCGACTCCCGAAACATGGCGCCAGTGCTGACCCACGTGGCGACAGAGCGCGCAGCTCCCCAACAAAGCAACGGGACCAGTCGATCACCCACGCGCCTTCACCCACGCGTTTCCTCGACCTTCCCCGCGCCGTCCCCCTCCCTGCCCCCCCCCGTTCCCCTGCCACCCCCCCCTCCTCCTCCTCCTCCTCCTCCTCCTCCTCCTCCTGCTGCTCCTCCTCCTCCTCCTCCTCCTCCTCCTCCTCCTCCTTCTCCTCCTCCTGCTCCTCCTCCTCCTCCTCCTCCTCCTCCTCCTCCTCCTCCTCATCCTCCTCCTCCTCCTCCGAACCCCCTAACGAGAGCCGCCGGGCCCACCGCCGCCCAGCCCAGGCACGGCCGGACACCTGGTGCCCGGCCCGCCGCGCGCAGAGGCACCAGCGGCTCCCACAGGCCAGGCGCTGCGGGACCCACAGGTCCGAGGCGCTCGTCGGTGTGGCTCAAGCTGTCTGGCCCTGGGAGCTCTGAAGACGCCGGAAGGCAGAAAGCTTGGCGACAGCCCACACATCTTGCCTTCTCACCAGTAGGAGGCCAGAACTCGCACGCTCAGGCCGAGGATATCGCAGAAGTGGGGAGAACATCACCATTCAGAGGACGTTTCCGTCGGCTCGTCGGCGCCTCCCCGCCTGGCTCTTCCCGAGGGGCAGCCCCAGAGATCCGGGGCTCCGAAACAAAATGGAGCGGCCAGTTTTTGGCAGACGGTCGAGGTTGCAGGTTCTCGGACGTTTCCGCCCGTTCTCGGCGGTCTTCAGCCTCGGGACGCATTCCAGCGGCTGCGCCTTGCCCAGAGCGTTTCGGTGATGCCAGGATCGTCCCGAACGGCCGCCAGAGAGCCGAGGCATGGCCCGAAAACTAAGTGGGCACCGGCGGGGCACAGCCAGAGATCCGAGGCTCCGAAAAACTTGGAGCGGCCAAGTATCGGTTGTTTTCGGCCTCCGGGGGCCCTCAACGGGCCCAGGGACTGGCACAAAAATCCTCGGTATGAAAAACTGGTCCAGCCCTCGGGGGGGATCCGCTGATCAGAAAAAGTGGAGCCCCAGATGTCTGGGGAGCGCATAGAAAGGTAGGGTCTGGGGCTCTGGTCGTGATGGTCGTGAATTTTCGCGATTTCGCAATTCTTGTCGCAACGTCGGACCTCAGGGCAGGACAAACGCGCGCGAGCGAGGCCCACCCGTGCGTGGCATTGCTGCACCACGTGGCCCACTCCAGAAACTCCGAATCCTCCAAGGTGGCATCTCTTGGGGGGGGGGGAGATGCTCGTTCTGGGGACCTTCCTGGAGCCACTCGCCCCAATCGCGCGTCGATGCTGCGTCGAACGGCCGTCGCCTCACTTGAGTCGAACTCGAGTCGAGCTAGAATCGAACTAGAGCCAAACTTGAAACGAACAGATCCGCTAGGTGGACCCAAAAAAATCTAAGAGGAGAGTTCGGGAGGGATACCGACACCGACTCTGCGTTTGGTAATCAGCGTAGGGGGGATCTCCGCGACAGGGGTCAATGTCAACCTGTCCGCGCCCGTGGGCCAGGGGTCTGGTTTTTGCGGCGGGTGGCGTGGGCCGACTGGGGTCGACGTCGCGCAACAATGCTTGCCCGCGACAGCGGTCGATTTGGAGCTGCCGGCAGAAATGGCGACAACCCCAACTCTTATAACCAAACGCAGACTGCTCGTCCCTCGTCGCCACGGCTGGGTTCGCCTCGAAATCCTGGTCAGAAGGCGCCCCAAGAAAGGTCCGCAGAGTAGCAATATCGGTGCTTCTTGCAGGGCGGCTCTGGAAGATGGATCCTCAGGGGCTTAGCTCCGGAGGCTTGGTGGGGCATAGAGCAGTCTGGCATGACTACAACCATGATGAGCAAACTCAGCGGCCTGATGCGCAAGCGGCCAGAAGATACATCTTACACAAATGTGCATATACTCATTGCCCAGCAATCGATAGACCCTGGCAAGATATGAGCCGAGGCTGGAACGAAAGATGTGCAGTGAACGAACCTGGCAGCGGCGAAGCGTGCTGGATCGATATGTGAAACGAGACGAGGGCTTGGAAGGCTTGCTGGGAGGGTGGCAGAGCCTGGTGCTCGGGGCAGAGACGGGGAGGAACATCTGAACACTCTGCCTGCGCAGCGCGGGTGCACGAGAGGCGGCGCAAATGCCTCGAGCGGGCCGACATGGAGCATCGAGGCCGACGTGCATTCGGTGCCTGCTAGCTCAGACGATACCTGGAGCAACCAGACACGGCATGAACGTAATCCCACCAGCCCTTTACGGCGTAGGTGATCTAGGGAGTTTCCTCTTCCAACCCCCTTCTTCCCCGTCGGGGGGGGTGTACGTATCACTGTTCCCTACTAATAAACACCCCCTCCACCGCCCGGCCGGCAGCCAACCCGGAACCATGCGCACACCATGAGCCCCCCCCCCCACCATCCCTGTCAAAGACGACTACAAAACGCACTCTGCCTCCAAATTCGGAGCATGCGAAACCAACCCGATGCGGGCCCCCCCCCCCCACCATCCGGTCAAAAAACAATACACCGTACATTTCGAGGCAAAGTCTGGCGTCATGTTCGAGAGGCCCGCGGGTACTGTGTATTGTTCTTGCGACAGGGACGGCGGGGGTGTCAGCATATTGTCTGCTGCGCGCAAGGCTACCACCCCTGACAAAAAAAACAAAACAATATACACCTCGCGGCTAAATGTGGACACTGCGCGGCCATCCCGTGAACATTGTCAAATGGTTTTTGTCAGGGACGGCGGGGGTGGTGGCGTATGGCCTTGCTGTGCGCAGGCCCACCAGACACAATGATGGGACATGGCTTTCGCAATGGATGATGGGGGCCGACATGTTTCCCGATGTGCGCTGTCACGTGCGCGGGCGCACCTGACACACTCTGCACCTGCCCCGGACGTGGCGCACCCAGCGCGGCTGGAGGGAGCATCTGGTGCACTAGGCGTGCCTGGCACACTCGGGCCCCAGAGGTACCTGGCGCGCGTGGCGCGCCTGGCACGCGTGGCGCACATCGCCCCAGCGTCGCGCACATGGGCTTGGTTTTGGTTCCCAGTAGCTGCCCATCAAAAGACGGCCGCGGAACATGCTGAGGTTCGGGTGTTAGTGATGTGTTGGGGGGCGGGTGGGAGTGAGCTAGACGGCGTGCTATCTGGAGGGTGTCTTGGCCCATCCCCTTACCCCCTACCCTGGACATGGACGAGGGGTTCCGCGAGTAGTTGGAGCGTCCAAGACAGCCTCGGCGAGGAAACCAAAATCACTGGTTTTACTAAAATTTTGGCCCCATTTTGGCCTCCTGGGGGGGGGAGCTAATTAGGGCACCCCCCTCCTCTGATCGTCTCACCCAAGATGGCCCGAAGGTGCCCCCCAAGGCTCCCGAGGGTGCCCCAAGAGGGCCCCAAGAGGTGGCCAGCAGGCCCCAAGGGGCCCCCAAGAGGCTCCCAGGATGCCCCCAAGAGGCCCCCAAGAGAGCTCCAAGAGGCCCCAAGAGGCCCCCAAAAGGCACCCAAGACGCTCCAAGAGGCCTCGGCGAGAAGGCCAATATCACTGATTCTACGAAGGTTTTAGCCACATGTTGGCCTCCGGGGGGGGCACGGATTAAGATGACTCCAAGAGCGCCTGGGAGCGCCCAAGATGACCTCCAAGATGGCTCATGATACCCCAAGATGCTTCAAAATGACTACCACGATGCTCCAAGATGCCCCAAGACCGCTCCAAGACGGCTCCAAGTGGCCAAAGGGCTCCCCCCAGGAGGCCCCGACGAGGCCAAAAGCCTTCCAAACCCTTAGGGGTCAACTGTGTTTGGCATTCTCGTTATTTCGCCTCCCATGGCCATCCGAGGCCTCAAGATGGCTCAAAGATGGCCCAAGAGGGCTCGAAGAGAGTCTCAAAAGAGACCTAAGACGGCCGCAAGAGCGCCCAACAGCGCTCCAGGAGCGCCGCAAGAGCGCCCCAAGAGGCGACTTTGTGGGCTCCCGAGGGGCAACGCAAATTAATGCTCGCTTCTCGGTTGATCGATGTGTTCCAAGATGGCCCCAAGAGCGCTCCCAAGGCTCCCAAGAGCGCTTCAAGAGGGCCCCAAGAGGCGCCCAGGAGGCCCCAACAGGCGCCCAAGAGGCCTCCAATGGGCTCCCAAGAGACCCCCAAGAGGCCCCAAGAAGTTCTCCGAGGCACCCAAGACGCTCCAAGAGGCATCCACCGGGGGACCATTCCTCTGTGTGCTGCCCACTTCCCTGATCGAGGCAATTCCTCTGGGCATCGTTTCTGGACGGGTTGGCGGGGTTACTTTTAATCCGCGGGCGCGCGGAACGAATCGAACGCCGAGCCTGCTACGGCGGGCCGCGCCAGTAGCGAAGAGAAAAACAGTGAGCGACGGCACGTAAGGGCCGCGAAACCGACCAGGCGGTAAGCAGCAGAAGAGCGTGCCGAACGCGAAGACCTTGCACAAGAGCGCGGCGAACACAGAGTGCCCGAAGAGAACCTAAGCAAACACGTAGTGAACTGGTGGGGTTGCGCGAAGCGTCTGGAATTTCTTGGAGGTCCAAGTAAATTTCTTGGGTCGGCATCCCTGGCGCGCGGAGCGCGCTAGGGGTGGCGCAGAGGCGCCGAAGGGGGGCCAAGCGCTAATCCAACAAATCTGCGCGGCCCTCCAAAATTAGCCTGACGAAAGACCCAACCATATGCAGCTACGAATACCGCATTGTGGGTACTGCTTTCGATGGAGCTCCTTATGAGGCCACGAACCGTGTGAGGGGCGTGCCGAACTAAGCGCGGTGGTGCCATGCGATCCCTCCCGCTGGAGCCTTCGGTGGAGCATCCTCTGGGGCCACGAGACGTGTGAGGGGGTGTACCGAATTGGGCGCGGTAGTGCCATGAGAACCCTCCCACTGGAGCCTTCGGCGAAACTTCCTATGGGGCCACGAACAGTGTGACGGGTGTGCCGGATTGGGCGCGGTGCTGTCATGCGAACCCTCCCACTGGAGCCTTCGGTGGAGCTCCCTATGGAGCCACGAAGCGAACCGTGTGAGGGGTGCGCCGAGATGAGGGTGGAACTGCATGCGAACCCTGCCAATTTGGCCTTCAGTGGAGCTCCCCATGGGGCCACGAACCGTGTGAGGGGTGCGCCGAGATGAGGGTGGAACTGCATGCGAACCCTGCCAATTTGGCCTTCAGTGGAGCTCCCTATGGGGCCACGAACCGTGCGAGGGGTGCGTCGAGATGAGGATGGAACTGCATGCGAACCCTGCCAATGGGGCCTTCGATGGAACTCCCTATGGGGCCACAAACCGTGTGATAGGGGCACCGAATTGGGGCCGGAACTGCATGCGAAGCCTGCCGCTGCGGCCTTCGGTGGAGCTCCCGATGGGGCCATATTCGTATGAGAGGTGCGCCGAAATGACGGTAGAACTGCATGCAAACCCTGCCGCTGGGGCCTTCGATGGAGCTCCCTATAGGGGCCACGAACCGTATGACGGGTGCGCCGAAATGAGAGTGGAACTGCATGCGAACCTTGCCACTGAGGCCTTCGGTGGAGCTCCCTCAGAGGCCACGAACCGTGTGAGGTGTTGAGCGTATTGCAATGCATCTGTACTGACACCCCTAGCAATGAAAGAAAACATAATCACACCAAGATAGAGCGTGTGTGACGGCATCTTGAGTTAACCATTTTTGTTGTGGATCTTCAGCGAGTAACAATCCCACTAAGTGGGACAACACGCTCGGCACGGCATCGGTGTGTAATACAGCAAACTCATCTTGCATATGGCATTGCAGCATCCATCGCTTCTCGTCAAACACCTCGGGACTTGCCTTGGGCCCCGTTGGGCCCATGGCAAGTCCCGAATGTCCGAGGCCAGAGGCAAAACATCGCCTGCGGCCTTCCCGCCAGAGAAAATAATAAGTAAACGAAACAGTCGCACGGGTCTCGACCCCGTCGCGTCCGCACGGGTCTCGACCCTTTGCGATCACGTGCATGCATGCAGCTCCATATCCGGAGCCTTTTGGGCTGAAGCCTTGAGCTTACAACCGCGCTTCAAGCGAGGCAAAATTGAGACCCTTCCTCCACATCCGTCTTTACATACATTTCCTGTTCACCGCTACTCTCATAAAGCGGATTCTTGCGAGACGCCTCTCAGATGGAGGGTTCCGCGCCGAAATGAAGGTGGAAGCGCATGCGAACCCTGCCACGGAGACCTTCGGTGGAGCTCCCTATGGGGCCACGAACCGTCTGAGGGGCGCGCCGAGATGAGGGTGAAACTGCATACGAACCCTGCCAATGGGGCCCTCGATGTAGCTCCCTATGGGGCCACGGATCGTGTGAGAGGTGCGCCGAAATGAGGGTGGAACTGCATGCGAACCCTGCCACTGAAGCTTTCGGTGGAACTTCCGATGCAGCCACGAACCGTATACGGGGTGCGCCGAGATGAGGGCGGAGTTGCATGCGAACCCTGCCGCTGGGGCCTTCGGTGGAGCTCCCTATGAGGCCACGAACCGTTTGAGAGGGGCACCGAAATAGGGACGGAACTGCATGCGAACCCTCCCGCTGTGGCCTTCGGTGGAGCTTCCTATAGGGGCCACGAACCGTGCGAGGGGTGCGCCAAAATGGAGGTGGAACTGCATGCCAACCCTGCCACTAGGGCCTTCGATGGAGCTCCCTATGGGGCCAGGAGCAGTGTGAGGGGTGCGCCGAAATGAGGGTGAAACTGCATGCGAACCCTGCCGCTGAAACATTCGGTGAAGCTCCCGATGGGGCCATAATCGTATGCGGGGTGCGCCGAGATGAGGGTGGAACTGCATGGGAACCCTGCCACTGGGGCCTGCGGTGGAGCTCCCGATGGGGCCACGAACCGTGTGAGGGGTGCGCCGAAATGACGGTGGAACTGCATGCGAACCCTGCCGCTAGGGCCTTCGGTGGAGCTTCCTATGGAGCCACGAACCGTATGAGGAGTGCGCCGAAAGGAGGGTGGAACTGCATGCGAACCCTGCCACTGGGGCCTTCGGTGGAGCTCCTTATGGGACCACGAACCGTGTGAGGGCGTGCAGGAATGGGCGGGGAACGATGACGATGATGGTGATGGTAAACGGCCGTAATGGTGATGACGATGGTGATTCCGATGACGGTGACGAGTTTGACGATGATGATGGCGATGTGATGATGATGATGATGATGATGATGATGATGATGATAATAATGATAATAATGATGATGATGATGATGATGATGATGATGATGATGATGATGATGATGATGATGATGATGATGATGATGATGATGATGATGATGATGGTGATGGTGATGGTGATGGCGATGGTGATGATGATGGTGATGGTGATGATGATGCTGCTGATACTGATGATGATGATGATGATGATGCTGGCGATGATGATGATGATGATGATGATGATGATGATGATGATGATGATGGTGATGATGGTGATGATGGTGATGCTGGTGATGATGGTGATGATGGTGATGATTATGATGACGATGACGATGACGATGACGATGACGATGACGATGACGATGACGATGACGATGATGATGATGATGATGATGGTGATGGTGATGGTGATGGTGATGGTAATGGTGATGGTGATGATGACGACGGTGATGGTGATGATGATGATGATGATGATGATGACGACTGTAATGATGATGACGACGATGACGATGAAGATGACGATGACGATGACGATGATGATCATGGTGATGGTGATGGTGCTGATGATGATAATGACGACGATGACGATGACGATGACAATGACGATGACGATGACGATGACGATGACGATGCAGCGACGACGACGACGACGACGACGAGGATGAGGAGGAGGAGGATGGGAGAAGGGACGAGGGGAGAAGGAAGGAGAGGAGAGATGGACGCGGGGCGCTGCCTCTTCAAAACGAGGACCCAACACAGGATGGTTGGGAAAAAATGTTTGTGCCGTATCAATGGTTCTTCGAATGCCTGGGTACAACCCTCGGGGGCAACCAGGCCGTGGAGGGGACGGGCGACGAAAGAGATGGACGACGAGAGAAACCACCCGAGCGGAAACGAGAGAGCAGAGAGAGGACAGGGCGAGGGCGGAGAGGACCACAATCGGAAGCACGACGGGCAGGCGGCGCGACCGCCACGAGCAGCCGTCCTCGAAGTCTGGGCCGGGAGGCGGGAACATGTCCAGGATCCTGGGCAGGGGGGCCAAGCCCTGCCCCTGTCCGGCTGCAGCGGCAGCAAACGGCCTCCTCCTCCTCCTCCTCCTCCTCCTCCTCCTCCTCCCCCCCCCCCCTCCTCCTCCCTCCTCCTCCTCCTCCTCCTCCTCCTCCTCCTCCTTCCTCCTCCTCCTCCTCCTCCTCCTCCTCCTCCTCCTCTCCTCCTCCTCCTCCCCCATCCTCCTCCTCCTCCTCCTCCTCCTCCTCATCCGCCTCCTCCTCCTCCTCCTCCTCCTCCTCCTCCTCCTCCTCCTCCTCCTCCTCCTCCTCCTCCTCCTCCTCCGCCTCCTCCTCCTCCTCCTGTACTGGCCTTCAACGCGCAGGATCCTCATTCTGGATGCACTGAAACACAGGAGGGAAGAAGAGCTTGTTCAGCGAGGATTGCGTCAGGCGTGGCAAGGAGATGGGGAGAACCTGAACCCACCGACAGCGGCGTGCCATTGCCGACGAAGCATGTGAGTTGACTGGCTGTCCCCTTCATCTGCCCCCTCTTCCCGACATCCAAGGTCCCACGTGGAGCGCAAACATTGAAGGGCACCACTGCAGTCGGGGCGCTGACCTGAGGAGCCCTAAATAAGGAACGAGGCCCCTTTCCTCCAGAAATTAAACTTCCCCATCGAAAACCTGGGAAAACCTAAGTCAAGCTGTGAAACAATCAAGGAACACGGAGCCCCTCCCCAACGAAAAGGGTTCCTTCTTCAAGACCCCTACTGTAGCTCCCCAAGTGCCTTGATCGGAAGAGGGCCAATTGAGACAACGGCGGCTCTCCGTTCTCAAGCCACCCAGGGTTCATGCAGACTCGAGTTTCGACGCGGAGGACGAGAAGCGGCAGGCGGGGCCGCCGTGGTCTCGACTGGCCCTCCTCGGACTTTCGAGGCCCCCAAACTGGCCAACTGGACCACGGAGGCAGACAGACTGCCACGACTGGGCCCGATGCTGGCCCGCAGCTCGACAGCCAGGACTGCCACCGCCGAGACACACCGTCAGAGCGCGAGCAGACCCGAGACGAGCAAGGCGAAGCGGGCATCTGTCCATCACTACCGCCTGGGAGATCGACCTTCGGGAACCTCGGCAGGCGGTGGATCCGGATACGTGTGCCCCCCCTGGCCTGACTACATCCATCCATCGCCTGCCAGACAGACAGACAGACACGAGCCGTACGTCCGTCGCCTGCCAGACAAGAGTCTGGATCCAAGCTTTCTCAGTCATTGTGCCTGCTCAACAGGACTAGAGGAGGAGGAGGAGGAGGAGGAGGAGGAAGAGGAGGAGGAGAAGGAGGAGGAGGGGAAGGAGGAGGGAGGAGGAGGAGGAGGAAGAGGAGGAGAAGGAGGGAAGGAGGAGGAGGAGGAGGAGGAGGAGGAGGAGGAGGAGGAGAGGAGGAGGAGGAGGAGGAGGAGGAGGAGGAGGAGGAGGAGGAGGAGGAGGAGGAGGGAGGAGGAGGAGGAGGAGGGAGGGAGGGAGGGAGGGGAAGGAGGGAGGGAGGGAGGAGGAGGAGGAGGAGGAGGAGGAGGAGGAAGAGGGAGGATGGAGGAGGGAGGGGGAAGGAGGAGGAGGAAGGAAGGAGGAGGGAGGAGGAGGAGGAGGAGGAGGAGAGGAGGAGGAGAGGACGAGGGAGGAGGAGGAGGAGGAGGAGGGAGGAGGAGGAGGAGGAGGGAGGAGGGAGGAGGAGAGGAGGAGAGGAGAGGAGGAGGAGGATGAGGAGGAGGAGGAGGAGGAGGGAGGAGGGAGGAGGAGGAGGGAGGAGGAGGGAGGGAGAGGGGGGAGGGAGGAGGAGAGAGGAGGAGGAGGGAGGAGGGAGGAGGGAGGGGGGAGGGAGGGAGGAGGAGGAGGGAGGAGGGAGTATGGGTATGGGTATGGATACATGACAAAGTCAGGAAAGCAAGCAATGACAATAATGACATGCTACATGCAATGCGACGAAATGCCTACCCTCGAGACGCTCCTCCGCGTCGGGTGGCCTTCTCCGTCTTGCTCAGAACCTTTTCTGGCCAGAGCCCACGAGAAATCCTGGAAAGGTATTCAAGCCTGTTAGCAGTGGGACGCTGACAAGGACGACCAAGCCCGTCCAGCAATTGATGCCCATAGCATCCACATCTGCCACAATACCACAATTTCAATCCGCTGTGCCACTGCATCCGATGAGAGGAGTCAACAAAGCCCCCCGCTATATGCAACAGGGCTTGGGGGGGGTTGTTGAAAATCACTCCGTTATAGTTCAGGGGCTCGAAACAAGATGACTGACGCCAGAGAGTGGTCCGCGCCTTTGTGGCCAAACCCCCACACCGAGTGCACCTGCGCCCTGTCTCATCAAGGCAGTGGTCGGTGGAGAAGAGGGAGAGAGAAGCAGCAGAAGGGGGGCGAAGGGGCAGGGGCGACCTTTTTCCCCACGAGGCTCAACTCTGGTTTCTGCTTCGGCACCGCAGGCGTCCAAGGTGGCCCGCAGAATCCGCATGCGCACAAGTCGAGCCCTGCGCTCGTGCAACAGAACATTTGATCGCACATCCTGCGGGACCCTCGCCTCCTTTGCTGCGAGGCCAGCAACCTCGTCTACCACAGCATTGCTAGTGACCTTCCATCTCGGCGCCACACCCCTCACAATGTCTTGGGCTGTGAGGTGGGAGTGGGTAAAATCGACAGTGATCGACGCTGCTCCGCCTGCTCGCTCCTTGAGAAGCTGGCCTAACTGCGCCCGCAAATCCTTATCATCGCCTTGGGGGCCGATCATAGTGGCCCGCGAACCAGCCTTTGACTACTGGTTCGCAGTCTGAAATGAACAAAATGAAACCTCTGGTGAGCCAGACCGCGAGCAATAGGGCCCGAAGCTCTCCCCCCGCCACGACTTGGCGAGGGCCACACAGGGGGCCGCGCACCGTGCCGATTAGCTCAACGCAGGGCTCAAGCGAGGCAAAAAGGGCCACGGCTACTCCGACGCGGCGAAACAGGTTGCTGCTACTGTCGGGCCCTCCACTTGCGTCGCCGCTGATGAGGGGAGGGCTGCTGGTGGAGCCTTCACCCGAGCACCCTACAGAGGCTGCAATGAATCCCTCAGGGGTCCAGCATTCGACAGCCTGTGGCGGGGGCACAGCTGTCCAGGCCGCGGGAAGCATGCCCCTGAGCCAAAACCCCTCATCCATGTCCATCTGCGCTAGAGCCTGCGGTAGCAGGTCCTGTGAGTCATCGTATGCAGCCTTCCCTTGGTTGCACTCGCACAGCCAGATGCGGTGCTTGGCCGTCTCTGGCTCCTTGCCGCATCGTGGGCACAAAACGTTGCCGCCGAATTTCGCAATCTCATCTTTGCGCCGCTGCATCGACCAAGAAGCTCCTATGGCACAAGCTAGCATGGCCTCTGACAGACGATGCCCATACTCAGGAACAGCCGCCAGTTGCTGCAAAAGCACGCGGTACGAGGCAACAACAACTCCACGCTCGAGGCCTGCTCCACAAACATGGCGGCTGGCCTTGACCCACAGCTGGTGCCTGAGCGAGGCACGGAAGTCCTCAAGGAAGGCACTGTGCGAATCAAGGGCCTTGTCGCCCGTGTACATGGTATCGTCGAACCTCCAGTCGTCGCCCGCTGCCTCATGGGGCGGTGGTATGGTCCAGGCCGTAGGCTCATCCACACCCCAGCCTGCCTCCAGTAGGTGTAGTACCACAGCTGTGAGAGGTCCTCGCATGTGGCGAGAGCGTTGGCCTTCTGGGATAGACCGAAGGTGCTGTACAACTTGGCGCCATGCTTGTCGTACTCCAGGTCTGAGCTCGGGTCGGTCACGCCACGTAGTGAGCCACTGGTCCAAGCAGGCTGCGGGCATCTGGATGGCGGGGTCTGCATCGCCAGCTCGCGGGGCGAGTAGGCTGGTCAGACATCGCCCCCTCGTGGGGGCCGCCAGAGAGAAGCCCAGTCGTCGTCGGATATCCGTCATCTTGCTGCCGGAAGTGCCGTAGACTTGGTGCCCATACACTCCAGCAGCTTGGGCGCCCTGTCATTCGAGGCGCCCACACGTTTGATACTTCTTGGCCGTCCAAGCGAAGCGTCGCACCTTGGCATTCATGCGCTTGTGCTTGGCCTCGCGGATGACTCGGGTCGAGCGCCCATGTCTGCTTCCACCAGCGACGTCGACGCCCAGGTACGCTGCCTGGAGCTTGGGCAGGATGGTAAACCCTGCCCTCTTGACTCGTGCAGCGATCCACTTGGCGTCCTGACAATGTGAGCAAATGACAACGGACTTCGGGGAGACGGCGAGCTGCTTGGCCTGTAGCTCTTGAGAGGTCTCGATGATGCACGATGCGAGCTGCCTCCTAACTGCTGACCTCGACCCGCTTGTCCCTTGTGAAAGGTCATCTATCCAGATCCGATGGCTCACTCTGGGGTGAGCGACTGCGATGGCTGACAGCACGTAGTGGGTCATGGCCTTGCCGAATCTCGTGCCTGAGCGGAGGACCTGCACCACACTTCGCGTCGGCTGAAAAGCCCGCGATGTGGCCCCGAGCTGGCTCACTGCGCGCGCTGCCGCGCACTGCAGCAGCTCGAGGTAGAGGATCGTCGGTGGGAAGGACAGGTTGAGGGAACACAACACCAGCCCTGGCCACTCAATGGAGTCGTAAAACGACCTAATGTCAACAAGGCCCTCTCCGACAGCAATGCCCAGATGATGTGGCACTTCCTGCTGGAGGGCCCTCACATATGCTTCCCTCAAACTGGAGTTCCCTCGCACTGCAGCGTCCCAGGACGCCTCCGTGTCGCTGCTCCACTGGCGCACCAACGGTTCACGGATCAAACTCCATAATCTGCCTATCATTGAGACGAGCCCGATGATGCGGTCGCCCGTGCTCTTCTTGGGCAGCATGCGCCCAACGATCAGGAGGACCTGGGCGGGCCAGACGAGGTGGTACTCGCAGGCCTCGAACAGCAGCGCCAACTCGGCAAGAGCCGAATCAGGGAGACGCCCGAAGTCCCCAGGGGAGAGCATGTCGACGCCAAGCCCCGCTCGGGGGCGCATCTGCCGCAAGGCTGCTCTGATGTCCTCAACCGAGATGGGCGGCAGAACATCGTCCTGAGCTGCCTCTCGTACCTGCTGAAAGGTATGCTGCACTAGCTCCTCGTCCATCTGATGAGGCGCCCACAGATCGCGCCAGCCTCGAGCTTTGACGTCGATAATGTCCTTGGGGTGGTAGAGTACCTCCCCCTCGTGTTCTAGCTCTTGTGCCGGTAGATTCTGTGTCTCCAATGAACGATGCAGCGTGCCTATAGACTCAGCTGTGCCCATAAAATCTCTGAAAACGCGAATGGACTCCTGGACTGCACGCCGCTGCGCTCTGCCCATGACGCGCTTGGACAGGAAGACGTACTGCTCCAGCTCCTTGGCGGTCACCTCGCCTGCAGCGCGAATGACCCGTGCCCATTCCTCCCACGGTGGTTCACGCTCAGCTAGCAGAACTCGCCGAGCTTCATCTGGCCGGGTGTCCAGATGCCGTACACAGGCAGCCGTATATTGAGCAACCTGTCGTGGTCCATTACGCTTGTCTCGATGCAAGCGTAGCCCTGAAAGAAGTGAGTGTAGTTGCGTCCACCATGCACTGACCTGGTCTCTAAGCGCCGCAACTCGCGCTTTGCCAGGCATCCTGACGGCGGTCACCTTGAAACGTGGCCCCTCTGCTCGACGCGGGCCTGATGGCATCTCAACTCCATGGTGCGTAGAGATGCTGGATTCGACAGCAGACACCCAGGAGGCGTAGAGGCCTGAAATAGTGGAAACAAGATCTGGCTTGAGCCGAACTGCTACGGACTGACGCAGAGCAGGAGCAAGGAACTGAAGCGAGAACGAGCCAGGTGCAAACCCGACTTCCCTCCGACACCGCCCCCACAGCTCAGGAGGTATTGCATAAGTCGGGGCTCCCCCAGAGACTTCCACGTCAGGGTCCGAGGGCAGGTCTCCAACACGCTGGGAATCCAGGGTCTGCGCCTGAGATGAGCCAAAGGTCGGAGCAGCGGCCGAGTTCGGCAACACCACGCCCACGCCCTCGACTACCCCAGACGGATCTCCCCCAGACTCCCAGGCCCCAGACTTGACAGATTCAGAGCTCGACGAATTCCCAAAACTTGGAGCGTCTAAAGGGCCTAGAGGGTTCCTGGGGACAAGGCTGGACTCTTCAGCCCACGGGTCCTCCTCCTCTTCAGGTCATTCTGAATAATCTAACTCGGCAACGTGCTCCCTAGGCTCTAAGTGGGCGGTGTCTTGGTCCCCAGACTCCTCCCCCTCAGAGTGCGCACAGGACGATTGAGGACCACAATCGCCAAACAAGGATGCAAATTTCTGGGCGCGCTTGTCAACTGCATTCTGATGCTGGGCTTGGCGCTCGATCTTAGCAAGACTGGATTTTGAACCTACTGTCGGCTCAGAGGTGGGGCGTGGGACCTGTGGCAAACGTCCTGGCACCTCTAGGATCCCAGTGATGAGTTGCTCACCTGAACTACGAAGGGTGACCTCGAGGCCTATGTGGGGCTTTCAGGGGACAGCGAGGACAGGCGTGACAGAGACGATGAAAGGGACCGCTGATTTACTGCACACAACATAATCAATGACCGTGCCCGTGCCAATATTACAAGTTGCCGTGTCGCCAGCGGTTACCACAGTGCCGCGCAGTCTGTCTGGGATGCCTGATCGCACAAAATTTTGGGGCGAGATGTTGAAATCACCGAGCACTATCCACGGCAATTGGAGCGACCACAAAAGGCCTGCTAGGCGCTGGTACCTACCAGCGTTCAGGCCTCTCACCCCCACTCCGTTGTGCGCGTAGAAGGACACGATGACCATAGAGAAACCTGAAAAGTGCGCTGCCACCGCCACGAACCCGTCGAGCGAGGAGGGCTGGTTGGGCGCCTGCAGCTTGGATGCCGCAACCTTGGACGCACCGAGCCTAGCGACCTGGAGGTGGCCCTTGGACATGAACCACTCGCCTCCCTCGCTCGCGAACTCGACATGGTCGTCCGTGACAACTTTCTGTGCACGCCTAGCTGGATTGGCGTGAAGACGAAGCCCTTTCCCCCGAGCTTTGCCGTCATACTTCTTAAGAGACTGCTTATCGTGGATGTGAGTCTCAACGATACTGAAGAAGTCGTGTGGCTGCCCAACCAGCCATGACCACGCCTTCTCCCCCATGCAGGTGACATTCCCGTGGAATATCTTGGCCGTGTGGCCTCCCTCTGTCGGCTGCTCGGCCGACTCAAGACTAGGCTCCATACCTAGTCACTCGCCCTGCTTCTTATCCTCCGCGGCCTGCTGCGACTGCGGCGGGGGGGGGAGCGCCGACGCCCTTGCCGTTGCTCTTGCCCTTCTGGTCGGCCATGGCCTGGAACTTCGCCGCTGACAGCCTCTGGGCCTCGGCCTTCACAGCCTCAGTCTCGGCCTCGGCGGCCTCGGCGGTGCCAGCTGGGGAGGCCGTCTGCGCGGCGGGGGCGCCCTCGGCACCCTGCGCTCCACGCGCGGCGCTCTCCCCAGGCGGATCATTACCAGAGCCTGTGGCAACGCCCTGGCCTGCCGCATTATTCCTCTTCTTGGCAGCTCGATCCTCGATCTCGGACCTCAGCTTCTGAGCCTGGGCCAACCACGCCTTGACCTCGGCCTCCTTGCTCTCTAGGTCCGACGCCGTCGCCTCCAGACTCGTGCGAAGCTGGCGGAGCACTGCCTTCCCATGCTCCTCGCACTCCATGGTGTCTATATTCGCGAAGAAGCTCTTGTCGTAGGAGACCTCGAAAATATTGGCCTCGGCTGTGCCCTTGGTCTCGGCCTGCTGCGCGGTGACGCCCTCGGCGCACGCCAGCGCCTGCGCCGCGGCCGTCCGCGCCTTGAGCGCCTGCGCGACCTCGACGGAGGCCTTGGCCCCCTTGGCCTCGGCCAGCTCCAGCTGCTGGCGGAGCTTCAGCACGTGCGCCACCTGCTGTCCGCGGCGGTGGTCGGCGTCCTTCCAGGCGCCGTCAGCCCGCCGCAAGGCTTCCACTGGGGTGGTGCCCTTGGCGGCGGCCGCCTCCGCCTCGAGCCGCTCGACCTGCTGCTTCAAGTTGGCCTGGAGCACAGGATCGGCAGTGGACTCCAAGGCTTGCTTGAGCAAGTCGGCGGTGGCGGAGGCCTTGTCATCACCCTTGCGCCTGCCCTTGCCTCCACGGCCAGGGCTCGGCGAACGCAGGATGCCACGTGGGTGCTGCAGCTCCTCGCCATCCTCGTCCGCGAACTGGACTGACTTCCGACGCGAGGAGCTCGGCTTCTCGTACAAGCCCACCTTCTGGCGGCATCCAGGGCAACAGAGATTGCGCTTGCTGGCTAGGATGTCATTGTACTCGCAGCGCTGGCAATTCTGACACTTCGTCCATGCACGGCGGGGGGCTGCCTTGCCCGCGCCAGTCATGGCTGCAACTCGAAAACTAGGGTTTGTCTCTGCTTTAGTCGAGGCTGAAGCACAGATGGATGGGGCTGGTTGTGCTTAACCTAGTCCCTCAAGTGCCCCGTGGCGGCACAGAGACTGGAGCTCGTCAGCTGAATAGCTCGGGCCCCAATGTTACTTGAGGAGGAGGGAGGAGGGAGGAGGGAGGAGGGAGGAGGGAGGAGGGAGGAGGGAGGAGGGAGGAGGGAGGAGGGAGAAGGGAGAAGGGAGGAGGGAGGAGGGAGGAGGGAGGAGGGAGGAGGGAGGAGGGAGGAGGGAGGAGGAGGGAGGAGGAGGAGGAGGAGGAGGAGGAGGAGGAGGAGGAGGAGGAGGAGGGAGGAGGAGGATGCGCGCGCGCAGGGCGGGCGCCGTGCGCCGAGGGCTGCGCGGCAGGCGGCAGCCGTGCGCACGGGCGCTCGTCCACCCCGCGGCGGCCGTGCCTCGCGCGGTGCTGGGCCGGCATGGCCGTCGGGGCGGAGGAGCGCTCGGGCCCTTGGCTTCGCCGCGCCGAGGGGGGGGGGGCCAGGCGCAAGGCCGTGGCGCGGGCCGAGCGCAGGGCGGAGGCCGAGGCCGACGCTCTTCCCGATGGCCGCTGCGGCACGCCCCTGGAGGACGCGCGGAAGGGAAGGCTGGGCGTGGAGACCCTGGTGAAGCATGGGGTCCTGTGGTGCGACGTCCTCCCACGGGCCCTCGACCGCTCTGCGACGGCGCTCGACGGCGTACAGGCCCAGGCGCAAGAGCACCAAGATGAGGGTGCCGTGACGCAAGAATAGCTCGGCCTGCTCTCGTAGTCGCGCGAAGATGTTCACGGGTGGGTCCGCAATGCAAGGGTAAGCAGTGCACAGGTGAGCTCAGGCGGCAGATGGAGGCTGGCGATGAGAGCTTCGCAGCCTGAGCTGATCAAGTTGGGAGCCCTGTCAGGGGGCAGGGGCTGCGTCCGCCAGTCTCTCGAACTGGCGCGCCCTGGAGCTTTGCCGAGGGCCGGGCCCCATTGCCTGGAGGTGGCGGCGGCTGGGGCGCCGGGCTCAGCCCGAGGCGCCCGTGCCTGTGCGGCCCGTGGAGCTGCCTTCGGGTAGGGCGCCTGTGGGGGCGGCCGCTAGCGGCTGCTTGGAGGTTCCAGGACTGTCTGGCCAGGGTCTCCCTGTGGGGGGGAGGCTGAGAAAGAGACAAAAAAAAAAGCAGAAACTGAGCAGAAGGAGGATGGGGAGGATGAGTAGGAGCAGGAGGATTAGCGGAAGAAAGGAAAGATGGAAAGGGGGACAAGGACGAGGGCATGTGTGTGCGGAGGTTGGAAAGAACAACGACAGCAACAACGACACTAAACGGAAGAGAAAGACTGGCAAGAGAGGGCGGATGTCAAAAGGGACGACGAGCCTGACGGTAACGCATGCGCCACAGGCAGAACAGTGTTGGCGGGCGACTGGCTGGCCGAGCAGGATCCTTATGATATTGTCATGGTCAAGCTGCCGCAGCAGCTTCACTTCCCGCAGGATCCGCTTGCCATCGACCTTCGCGTGCTGTACTGGGGCGGCCGCGGCCTAATTTAGCCCAAACATGGACGTGATCCAAAGCTCGGGGGGGTCCAACACCTGCCTTCCCTCAGCGCACTACCTCATCGCTGCAAATGTGTTATGCAATTGCTTGCTTCTTATTATTCTTCTGAAATCCGCCGACCCTGTCGGCATGTGGAAGAGGCTGTTCCTTCTGACTCGTCGAAATTGAGCAACGTTGTAGTTGAGTCGAAGGGAGGCCCCTACCCTTTGATCCCTTCCCCGCGAGGGGGGGAGTCCCCGGTGGTGGGGTCCAGGGAGGGTCCCGGGGAGGGGTCCCGGGGCAGATACGATTCCCCCCCGGGCGGTTCGGGGACCCAGAAAAGCCCCAAGACGCGGCAAAAGTGCCCCAAGATGTCCCCAAGACGGTCTTCGAGGGCCCCGAATCGCCGGAATGTCGGTCCAAGTCGCCAAAGCAACCTCCAGACGGCTCAAAAGGTTTCCAAAACGCCCCAAGAGGCCTCCAAGAGGACTTCCAGGACGGCCCCAAGGGGCAAAAAAGCGTAGATTACCAATAGGTTTTCGAAAGGTTTCAGCATTCTCGCCTTGTCAGCTTCCCGACGCTCCAAGACAGGCCAAGAGGACTCCAAAACCGCCCCAAGATGGCTCAAGAGGCCTCCAAGAGAGCTCCACAACGACCCGAGAGGGCCCCAAGACAGCCCAAGAAGCCTCCAAGACAGCCGAGGAGGCCCCCAAGAAGGCTCCAAGAGGGAGCCCAGACGGGGGACCCGAACGGACATTTCGATCCCTCGGCCTGAGAAACTCTCAGGAAGCCCCCAGAGGTCCCTCAGAAGCCCCACAAGAGCCCCCAAGAGGCCCCCACCTCCAGGAAGCCCCAAGAGGGCCCCACGAGGCTCCCAAGCGGCTCCCAAGAGCTTCCCAAAAGGCTCCCAAACTACCCCCAAGAGGCACCCGAGAGCGCTCGTCGTCGTCATCGTCGTCGTCGTCGTCGTCGTCTTCGTCACTCAAAGTCGGCAGCACCGGCCGTAAGGCCTTCGCAATAAGCTGCGTCCGTACCATCATGCTGCGCGCGGCATCACCACTATGCCAAAAAGCTCGGGCGACGACCGCTCGCACCCGAACAGCCCTGTGGCCAACGACACGTGCATCGCCATTGTAATTCGCCCCAACGACCGTCGCCCTGCTCGTCGGAACCCATGTCTGACTCGCTAAGCAAATACCTGTTTCTGCCATCAGGGGGCACCAGGCCCCACTACATTCCACACCACAGCAACACCCTAGCCCTGGGCAGCGCATCATTGGCGGTCCCACTGAGCATCTGGGCGCAAGTGGCTCGGGGTGCGAGCTCTTCCGCAGCAGGCCCTTCTTCAGGTTTCGAGGAGGGTTTCGCTTCTCCCCTTCTCCCCCCTTAACGAAGCCTGCACGCGATCAACAGCGAGCTTGCGAGAGGTGTTAGGGCGTCGAAGATGGCCCAAGATGGCTCCAAGGCTGCTCAGATAGCCCAAGATGGCCTCCAAGATCGCACAAGATGGCCCAAGATGGCCCAATGTGACCTCCAGCACGGCTCCAAGAAAACCCAAAGACTACCCCAAGGCAGCTCGAGGGGGCCACTGAGTCTCCCAGAGGTGCCCGCGAGACGGTCTAATCAAATATTCCAGAGAAGCACCCCAACTGCGGGATGCAGACGTGGCTTGAGGAGGCATGGAGTGGTGATACTCCGACGGCGCTGCCATACCTGTGGACACGGCATACTTGGCATCATGAGAACCAAATGCCCCCTGGAGGGCCTGGAAATGCGAGACCCCGGGTCCCCTGTCACACTCCTGGACCTGGGAGAGCCGTGATCGCGAGCCGCAATTCCGTGCAACGTCTTGTGAAGCCTGAGAGACCTTAGGACAAACATAAAAACTCGGAGGTCCGCGCGGAGTCCTCGGATCGGTGCCGGAGCCCCCCCGGCGGCGCCTCCGGCGCAACCCCTGGCGTGCTCCGAGCGCCAGGGGGAGGGTGGTCCAGCGCGGATCCGAGGAATCTGCTCGGACCTCCGAATGCATATGCCGATGCCATGGTTTGTTCACCAAGACCCGGAAGGGTGAGGATGTCCCAGGCACCCGCCGCTCCTTTCCTGGACGTGGGCGGCCTGGCGCGGCGAGAACCCCATGCCCGTGCATCGATTTTACCGGACCCGGGAGGCCAGGAAGGATGGCGCTCCTGCACCGACGCCACTCCTGGCCCGTGTGGTCTGGAACGATGAGATGCCGATAACCCTGCCACACATCTCCTGGAAAGGGGAAGAAACCTGGCAAGGCGAGACTCGAGGAGATTCCGACGGCCCTGCACACAATGTCTGGACCTCTGAGGTATACATGGAATGGTGGCAACCCGATACCACTGCCACGCTCCTCTGAACCTCAGAGACCTGAAGTGGCGACCCCATACTGCCACACAACATGGACCTCAAAGTCTGGAGAGAAAACAGCGAGCGGCTCCAGCCAGACTGCTATCTGGCCGCGAATCCATTCGACGGGGCCTGGCGGCAGAAGGCGAGACCCTCTCGAGACCAGCTCCTGCTCGGCCTCGGGGGATCTTCTGACCCGGGTCAGTCCAGACCCGGGTCGGCCAGGCCTTGCAGAACCCTGCAGAATCCTGCGAGATCCTGCACCCAAGCCCAGGTCAATGCGAAAGATTCTGCAAGATCCGGCAGGATCCTGCGCCCAGGCCCGGGTCAATGCGATCCTGGCCCTGCTCCTGCTCGGCCGAAGAGCGGTCCAGGCCCCGGCCGGGCAGAGGAGGGCAGAGGCGGCCGGCGCCAACGAGGCAGGGCGCGGCGTGCAGAGACGCGGCACGGCGTTCAGGCCGCTTACGCCCTGCGAAATGCTTAAGAAATCATAGGTCAAGAAATTCATAGTCTCAGAATTTGAATAAAAACCCAGAACTTCGATCGAAATCTTAGGATTTACATTGGAACATTAAGAATGATCGAGACTCCAGCCGAAAACTTAAATTTTCTTAAGCATCGCCGAGGGTGTACGCCACCGCGCGCCCCGAAAGTTGTAACACTGCAGCCCGTCGAACCAGCGCACAGACGACAGCAAGGAGAAGGAGGTGGGAACGCTTGCACGCTCATGGCCGCCCGCTTGCACGCGCATCTCGGACCTCCCCCAGTTCGGTGTCGTCCCCTCCATACGATACGATCATGGTTACATGGTTGTGCTCGTTTTCCCCTTCCTCCCCATCGGCTTCTTGCACGGTTTCTCTGCACCCTTATGGGCGCATGGTCTTTCTACTTGACTGCTGCCCCTCTGCTTACTGCACCTACTCGCCACCAGAATTCTGACCATTGTACCTCAGCGGGTTGAAACGACGCACGACGACGTCTGTGCTGCAAATGCAGACGCTGTGATCCGAGTCGTTCTCAATTCGTCGAACGTCAGCAAAGGAAGGAAGAGGGGAGAAGGGAGCAGAAGGCAGCTGGAAGGCAGACAAGCGGGTGGCCGCGGAGCGTGAGGAACCCGACCCTGCCTGCAGGCGCGCGAGCGCCCAGCGGAGGCAGGGATATTCAAAAAAAATGAGCTTCAGGGGGCGAGTGAACCTGATCCTGGTCGGTCCTAAGACACACTCGGACCCTGACGATGCTGAGAAGGGAGAGGGAAGCAGTCCGACCAGGGCGAACCCAGCGAGGTCCAGATCGAGTGTCGAATTCCAGAAGGCCAGAAATAATACAGCGTTTGGGGGGAGCAAGGACGCGAAAACCAAAGAAACCTGCAGCAGATCAGCCTGAACCAACGACAGGAAACTTGCATGGTCCGCGGCGGGCTGGGTCCAGCAGGCGGTCAGCTCACGCAGCACGCGTCGGACGGGAATTAGGGCACGCAGCAGCACAAGGCAGGAGGGGAGGGAGGAGGGGGCCGCGGGAGGGCCAGAGCGCACAACAGCGTCAGAGAAAGTCAGCACCACACCACGCTCGGCGGCAGGCATTGCGTCGTCCCTCTCCGGCTGTCCCCGCTGGAGCGAGGACCACAAAGATGCGAACATGGCCCCGCGGGCTGGGTGCAGTGTCGAAGGCACGCAGAGGCTCCATGGTGGCCATCTGGCGCAGGATGCTGGGATAGACATTTCCCACCAGAAATGTTCGGATGGGCACGACCGAATGACCGTGATCGCCTGGACTCGTCTGCGAGCTTACCCCCTGTCTGCTTTCGGAATTCTAAGGCGTCGGCGAGGTCATCGAAGGCGTTGCTGACCTTCTTAACCTGACTGCGCTCCGTCGGGGGTCTACCCTGCTGCCAAGGATGCCTCGCGATTACTCTCCTCCCTCTACCGCTGACTCATACCTTCGAGCGAGGCAGGGTGATGATGTGCGGGCCACCCCCTGGAGTGAAATCCTCACCACACCAGCGCGTCGTATGAATGCATCCATGTATCAGATTACACCTATTGATCCTCCTCCTCCTACTCCTCCTCGTCGCCCCCCTCCTCCTCCTCCTCCTCCTCCTCCTCCTCCTCCTCCTCCTACTACTACTACTACTACTACTACTACTACTACTACTACTACTACTACTACTACTACTACTACTACTACTACTACTACTACTATACTACTACTACTACTTACTACTACTCTAAACTTACTAACTACAGACACGACTGACTTACGGCCACTTACTACGACTCTACTACTTAACTACTAATACTACTACTACTACTACTACTTACTGACTTACTACTTACTCCTACTACACTACTAACCTGGAATAAACTTATGATAATAACTACTACTACTAATACTTACTACTTACTACTGACTACTTACTACTTACTACTACTACTACTACTACTACTACTGCTAACTACTACTACTACTACTACTACTACTACTACTACTACTGCTACTACTACTAACTACTACTACTACTACTACTACTACTACTACTACGACTTACTACTTACTACTTACTACTACTACTACTACT